GGAAAGAGCCAAAGAGCAGGGGAAATCACTGCTCAGAAAAAAGCAGGGAAGGCCATAGCCAAGGCCAGAGCTGAGTCATCATCCCACTGCTACCAGTGTTTTGCATCCCCTCCTCTGCTTCTTAATCATCTGTTATTTGAGGGCAACTTCTGTTTTATTAGGGAAAGCCTTTTATCTGGGTGATTTGCTCTGAGGTGTGTCAGGGACAGAGGAAGAATCCAGGTTAACTATTACCTGCCAATGCAGTAGCTTGAAAGTGGATGCATTGAGGAGGTCACAAGGCTGGAGACGAGGAATGGATCTGCAGCACAAGGCAAGGCACAGCCTGTGAGCAAGACCAGCTCTGGGATGCACTGGGAGCCAGGGCTGGAGTTGTTGTTGATGGAGGCACTTCCCAGTACCCAAGGCGGTGGTCCTTGCCAGCAAGGAGCAACTCAACATCAGCAGGAGGTCGAAGCAACCCACACCAACGGCCAGCAGCGAAAACGCAGAGCCGGGCTTCACGAGTGGAGCCAGCACATACCTACAAAGCCCATCTGCTTCCACAGCAAGGAGATGGAGCTGGGGTGGTGCAGCACCCTCATCCACATTGATGCTGCTGCTTTTGCAGTCACCCCTAAAAGGCACTTACTCACCAGCCCCACAGGAGACGTCACTGGTGTGGTTATCAGCAGAGAAGGAAGGGTGTGGGCCAGCCGTGGAGTCACGAGGCGCACAGCGTTCCTCAGGCAGCCTTTGGGCAAACATGGCAGCTGCACACAAACCTCCTTCCTCCCCAGGTCCTGTTTACAGATCCGCTTGGCCCAGCCTGGGTGTTATTACTGCTAAGTGCACAGATAATGCCACTAATAAGCACACTGCTGATAGCAGAGAGGCAAATAGCACTCCTACCATTTAGCAGCTTTCTCGGCCTCCGGCCTCCGAGTAAAGGCAGCTTCCCCAGGGCAGAGCAGGGCAGTGATTTATGTGATCGATCTAGTTAGTTCAAATCATCCTGCACGTTTGCTTACTTAATGACTTGGCTAAACTTATGTCAATATGTTCAACAAGTTAAACAGCTGCTCTTCTTCAACATAAAGCCCAAAAATTAGGAGGCTTAACCAGTCTCCCAGGGTTTTACAACTCCTCTGGGTTCAACCTCAGCTCCAAAGCCAGGAAAGGGCAATTCAGGCTAGGAAGGATGCCTCATCTTTGCAGCCGAGATGCACAGTCCCATTGGCAAAACCACTAGGGCACAGCAGGCCCCAGCATTTTATTTCAGTGCCATCTTTAAAGGAAAAACCTCCAGTTTCACTCAAACTTATTTACCCCAGGATATATTCAGATTCCTAGCCTCCATTTCCCAGTTCCGCACTCACCGCAATTTAGGACCACGTGCACTGAAAAACAGACAGGTTTGTTAATGTCTTG